GGAGGAACCCCAGAACCAGCGGGAGGAACCCCAAATCCCTCCAGGATCCTCCAGTGGAATCCTTCCCCAGCGCTGCCAAGGCCACCACTGCCCCATGTCCCCAGGTGCCACATGCACACGGCTTTAAATCCCTCCAGGTGAGTCTCCAGAGAGGGAGGCTCACCTGGACAGCCCTTTCCATGAAGGAATTGCCCCTAATCTCCAGGCTGACCCTCCTCTGGCACAGCTTGAGGTCTTTCCTCCTTTGTTCCTCGGGAGTAGAGACTCCCACTGCCCTCATCCCCCTGCCCAGCACCACCAAAAGGAGGTGCCAGAAGGAGCTGAGAGAGCCGAAAACACCAAATTATCACCAAACATCCAGGATAGGGCTGCAGGACCCCAGAGCAGCGGCGCCCTGGCTCCTCAGGGCACAGAGCCCCAGGAAGGGCCTGTGGTGGCCATGCCACCCACGGCCACTAGCAGTGTCCCTGGCCAAGGCCACTCACCCCTAAGAACCACAGCAGGATGCAGATCCCGACCTGAACACAGCAGCTTTGTACCTGGCAAAGGTCAGGGGAGGAAACGGGACAGGTTTGGTGAGGGCTAGAATAAACTCAGGGTTTATTTTAACAGGGTTTGTAAGGGGCTCACAATGGCACTCAGTGCTCAGCTGGCACCGGGTTTGTTTGGCTGGTCACAAACCCATCCACATCCTCTTCCTCCTTGTGCCAGGAGCCTGTTCTCACACTCCTGCTGTCTCTTTCCCTCACCTCACCACAGTTGTTCTTGTGACATTCCTGGCCTGACATTTCTTTACAGAAGGAGTGTGCAGCTCTCAAGCACCTTACTCACCTTTCCAAGGTCTCAAGCACCTTACTCATCTTTTCTTTGTTCTGAGCCTCTTTTTCATCTCCTGTTTTTTCTTCCTTTAGTTTCCTGCTCTGAGCTCTCTGGATGGTTTCATGACCTGGGCCAAGGTGCCTGGTGAGTTTAAAATTACACTTTTCACCTCGGGGCTCAGAGCGTGCTGCTCCTGCAGGTTAGCTAAAGAGTACACATGGGTGTAAGAGGTAAGAATCCTCCAGCTGAGGATTCCTTTCCTCTGAATTAAAATGCCGCGGGATCTGCATCTGGTCTCACCCACACCTGCTTTATACTCTGTGTATAAATAAAAAGTATGAGCTATGTGTAAATATATTTATATGTATAAATGTAATTCATATGTATAAATTTATGTGTAAACTTATAAATAAAAATAAGAGCTATATGTAAATACGTATGCATAAATATATTTATATGTATAATTTATATGTATAAACAGAATTTATATGTATAAACTTACATGTAAATTTAAATGTATAAATAAAAATATGAGCTATGTGGACACAAACTGAAACAAGAGAGGCTCAGACTGGACATAAGGAGAAGTTGCTCACATCACAGAAGGGTTTGGGTCAGAAAGGTCCAGGATGGGCCAAAGCCCAGCCCTGCCCAGGGAGGTGCAGCCAGCACAGGAACCCCAGCTCTCAGCCCTCTGCCAGGCCAGCAGGAGCTTCCTGAAGTGCTTCCTTACTGCCCCCGAGGGGCACAGCCCGACACGTGTGCTGCCCTGGCTTCCTTCCCCTCTGGCACAGCCCTGGGAACGCTGCTGCAGTCAGGGAGGGGGCAGAGAGAGCAGCCCTGCCTGTGGGACACAGCCCCAAGATCCCACCCTAAAAACTGGGCACTGTTGTATTCACATTGCTGTTATCCTATTGCTAGAGTCCCATACCTTCTGGGTGGTTTCTCACAAGCAGCTCTTCAGCAGTGTTGCTCCAACATCAACACCCATCCAAGGCTCTCCCCAACTAGCCAAGCCCACCCCCCTTTTATCCCAGTTATCTTCATTAGCCACAGCTGCAGCCCAATGAAGGCCATCACAGCTGCAGCCCATCTAGGACTGGGGCAAGGCCGCTTGTACAATACATAGATTTCACCAGGACTCAAAGGCCACCTCTACTATACACAGGATTTTCATCCCAGCCCTCCCTGGAGCCAGGATGGCGCCCTTGGCTCTGTCTGCAGTTCTCTGTGAGCTGTGCCAGGCCCCTGTTCCACAGCCACCACCCCTGTCCCCCCTGCTCCTCCTGCTGCTGAGCCCTGACTGCATCAGCCCTAAAGGGCTCTCCTGGCATACAGAACTCTCCAAGGGATCGCTGGGGACTGCAGAGGCTCTGCTGGTGCTTCAGGCACCCAGAGGAGAAGGTGCAGCACCACGAACACCACTGAGTGCTTTGGAAGCACCCCAGCCCTGAGAGAGGGATAAAAGGCGAGCCACCCATGGCCCCTTGTATGCCATTTCCTGTCACCTTGTTTTTACAAGTTTCTCTAAGCCTTCTGATGTTTACATTCTCGTAACGAACTTTCTCATGTGCTTTATGTAAATAACTCACTGTTTTGCATTGTTTAACAGAGGAAAAGAGATTTGATAGACTGTTGGTTTGTTGTCCAGTGTCATTGGAGAGGTGACACCATCACATGCAGTCAGAATTAAACTTCCCTCTCTTTTGCCTTAGAAAATCCAGTGTGTCTGTGCCTTTCTGTTTCGGGTCCTAAAGTGACAATTTCCGCCCGGCTGAAAGGCAGGATGTGCACAGAAAATGGGCACAGAAAATGGGGCAGTCCAGGATGAGGGCAGAAATTTGGGCAGCCCAGGATGTGCACAGTGCATGGGGCAGTCCAGGATGTGCACAGTGAATGGGGCAGCCCAGGTTGTGCACAGAAAGTGGGACAGTCCAGGATGAGGGCAGAAAATTGGGCAGTCCAGGATGTGCACAGTGAATTGGGCAGCCCAGGATGTGCACAGAAATTTGGCCAGTCCAGGATGTGCACAGTGAATGGACAGTGCAGGATGTGCACAATGCATGGGGCAGTGCAGGATGTGCACAGTGAATTGGGCAGCCCAGGATGAGCACAATGCATGGGGCAGTGCAGGATGAGCACAGTGCATGGGACAGTCCAGGATGTGCACAGTGAATGGACAGTGCAGGATGTGCACAGTGCATGGGGCAGCCCAGGATGAGCACAGCGCATGGGGCAGTGCAGGATGAGCACAGTGCATGGGACAGTGCAGGATGTGCACAGTAAATTGGGCAGGCCAGGATGTGCACAGTGAATGGACAGTGCAGGATGTGCACAGTGCATGGGGCAGTGCAGGATGTGCACAGTGAATGGAGCAGTGCAGGATGTGCACAGTGAATGGACAGCCCAGGATGAGCACAGTGCATGGGGCAGTGCAGGATGTGCACAGTGAATGGGGCAGCCAGGATGA